CTTATTTGAAACCCGCTGATCCCTATTTTTCTCCTCTCTATGGGCGCGCGTAGTGGGGGCATAGAGATTCCCGGAATTCCACTCTCCTACTGTCCCTAAAGTATCTTATACGAAGCCTCTACTGTGAATACGCTAAAAAATAGTTATGATGGAGGTGGAATAGTCATTCAAAACACCAGGGCCGGTTTGATCGGAGAATAAATAGTGATGCGTCCGAATCACTATTTCGAGGCGGGTCTGGTGAACCGCATCATAGAGGACGGATACGCCGAAATAGAGTACAAAGAGAATAACCCCAATTCCGGGCATAAGGAAAAACCGAAAGTATCAGAATGTACAGGTGGCACATTGAGAGCGATGGGAAGATAGAGGGAGAGGGAATCGCGGGCACTCGGAGTGGCCACGGGATGAGGGAAGTCGTGGTTTCGCGGTCTCTGCGGTTATGCCAGCAAATTGAGATAGTTCGCAAACCGCTACCATTTGCGCTGACCCGGCGAAACTTTAGTAGTATAGTGGCTGCAAGATGGGAATAGAGGTACTCAAACTCTTTACATGTTGCGCAAAATTTTTATGAATTTTCAATCTAGAGAGAATTCAATTCAGTTCGATGGTTAAATAATTTTCACAATGAGTTGGGGAATTGAACATGTTGATGATCGGTTAACATGGAAAATTCAATTTTGTTGAATTTTCAAGGTGAATGTGAGAAAGTGTTAGAGGATTACTTATGAAATTTCAAGGGAAAATTCTTGTCATTTTTAACAACGACGCATCTACGTGAATTTCGCAAATGTTCTTGTTAAAAAATTGGAATTCTTTTTTTAATTTCGTCAATTTCTTGACTCTTTGATGAAATTTTAATTTTCAAGTCCATTTAAAAATGAACATTTTGAAAATTCTGGTAACAATTGTTCTGAATTTTCAATCAATTGAGAATTCAATTGAATGTGATGTTTAATTTTCACAATGAGTTTGAGAATGAAACATGTTGACGATCGGTTAACAGGAAAAATTCAATTTTGTTGAATTTTGAAGATGAATATCGGAAAGTGTTAGAGGATTACTTCTGAAATTTCAAGTGAAAAATTTGGTAATTTTTAACAACAACTCTACATGAATATCGCAGATGTTTTTGTTAAAAAATTGGAATTTTTTGTAAAAATTTCGTCGATTTCTTGAATTTTTCAATGAAATTTTGATTTTTAAGTCCATTTGAAAATTAAAATGTTAACAAGTCAAGCAACAATTGTTCTGAATTTTCAATCAATTGAAGAATGAATTGAATGTTATGTTCAATTATCACAATGAGTTGGAGAATGAAACATATTAATGATCGCTTAACATGAAAAACTGAATTTTGTTGAATTTCCAAGATATGAGAAATATAAACAATCCTTTCCACCATGAGATTTACTATGAATTATTCATATTATCAATTTCATTATTATACTTGATGTTTATTTAATTTAATCCTGTCATTGACCGTGTGCTGTTGGGTCTGCATGAAATAAAAATAAAAATAAAATGAGAAACTGTTGAGAAATTACTCTTGAAATTTCAAGTGAAAAATCTTGCAATGTTTAATGACTCATTTACATAAAATTCCCAGATATATTGTAATAAAAAAATCCGTGAATTTCTGGAATATTCAACGCAATTTCAAATTTCAAGCCCATTTGGAAATGAAAATTTCGAAAATTCAGGCAACACTTGTTCTGAATTCAACTGAATGTGATGAATTTCCAAGATGAACATAAGAAATTCCCCGAACCATTTCAGCAGCGAAGTGGTAAAGCGATTTAAGTCGACTCATCTCCCAGTTGAGTTTTTGAGGAATACTTCTGAATCTACGTGAGATAGCGAAATTTTCATCATTACATTTGTTGTAGCTCTCAATCGGCTCTCCAAAAAAGGTTATAACAAAAATTTTGCTATCTCCCCTAGATTCCGAGATATTCAATGAAAACTCGTCAATAGTCAAGATTGCCTTGTACCGTTTTACCACTTCGCTACTGATTTGATCTTAAATTGAATTCAAATCGATAACATTAAAAATTGAAGTGCAGCTGTTACTTCAATTCCAAACAATGTCTTGAATTTCTACCAGTATAACAACAAAAAGTATTTGTTAATGCGAACTCCAAATGACCCCCAACTTTCGTGAAATTAATTTCGAAGAACTTATGGATTTATGTGCTGAATCCCCTAACACTGAACACCCGGGGATTTCGAACTGTATGAATAAACTGGCCCTAGTATTGGTGTGTTTAGGACAGTAAATATTGGCTAGCATATCGCTCACGGTGCCTGTGAAACCTCGCCCATCTCCTCTAGCCTATCCAAGAGAGTATATCTCCGGGTCGTTGTGTTTGTGAATGTTTGGCAGAAACTCGCGCACACAACCCCGAACATGTAAACTTGGTTGATACATCAGAACAGTCAACTCAATCACAATCTTGAATAAACAATGAATCAGTTCCTGCAGGGAACAATTTACCCTCCCATATTTTCATTGTTTTCCCACACGAGAGTTGAATATTTTACATTTCATGCTCATCAAATAGCGTTTGATATATTTTCACATCAGTATCTCACAATTCAGCGCTGAAAGATCGTAAAATTAAGTGTATAAATAACTCGTAATTCAACAGATTGTGCTCTCTTGGGTGGGGACAATTTGAATGCAGCAAATAGACTAGTCTCTTTAGCAAACACATTTCCACGACAATCCCCGCTGTGTAAGCCACCCCATCCGGATTTCCAGGTCAGTTTCCCAAGGTTATACCGAGAACACATTCTGGTTACTCGTAAAAAATAAAGAAACCTGAAAAAATATCTTCGAAATGAACCGAAATTTTTTTAATTTCACTCAGCCGATCTTGAGTTCTTGATGTTTAACAATCACTCATTTTAAACAACTCATTTAAAGCAAATTTAATACATACATTTAAAAAAAAGATTAAATTCCATCCAGCCATTAGCGAAAAATGGAAAAAAAATTTATTCACTAAAAATGGTATTTTCGGTCCTTTTAGATCTTAAGAATCACTCATTTTATGATGGTATGATCGTTTGGCAATTTTTTTATTGATGGCCCCATGCAGGGATAGCCATATCCATCAATTATAATTAATGTTAAATTGTTAAGTAGTCAATGAGTTGATATCACTTTTAAATTTTAATTATTGAGGTAATCATCAAGTTAAATAGTCAAATTTTGAATTATTCAGAAATTAATAATCGAGGTAGGAAGATTGACGATTATTTGGATAATCAGAAATCCGTTATAGAAAATTAAGTTTTATCTACTTGAAAATTTATAGTTTCATATTTTTAAATATTTCATCAATTGGAATTCATCATCAATTGGAAATTTAGGTTATCAATTATTTTACTATTTTTTAATTTCTATTGGTATATTAAAAAAAAATTGATATATACATTTGAAATAAAAGATTAAATTCCATCCAGTCATTAGCTAAAAATCGAAGAAAAATTTGTTCACTAAAAATTGTATTTTTGGACTTTTCAGATCATAATGGGTCGATGAAACCCAAAAATCCAAAACCTAAAATTGAACGAGTCCAAAGCTTCCACTCGAAAGCAAAAATCTCTTAATGTCAAAGATTCTATCGTTATCCAAGCGATCGTTAATCAGGTCTCATGTTCAAACCGAAAAAAATAGCTTCGAAATGAACAATTCATTTTGAAACCAGTAATTTAACCCCGCATTCCCCTCCTTCAGAAATAATCCAAGTGAATCGATTCTCATTCTCATTATTAACAATCACTCATGATTAACAAGTACTGTTAAATTATTAAGTAGTCAATAAGTTAATATCACTTTTAAATTTTAATTACTAAAGTAATCACCAAGTTGAATAGTCAAATTTTGAATTATCTGAAATCCCTTATAAGAAATTAAGTATTGTCTACTTGATAGAAAATTTATAATTCCATATTTTGAAATATTTAATTCATCATGAATTGGAAATTTAGGTTATCAATTATTTTACCATTTTTCAATTTCTGTTAGTATATATTTGAAAAAATATATATATACATTTTAAATAGAAGATTAAATTCCATCCAGTCATTAGCGAACAATCGAAGAAAAATTTGTTCACTAAAAATTGTATTTTCGGAATTTTCAGATCATCATCGGTCGATGAAACACAGAAAATCAAAAACCTAAAATTGAGCGAATACAAAGCTTCCATTCGAAAGAAAAAAATACCTTCGAAATGAACAATTCATTTTGAAACCAGTAATTTAACCCCGCATGCCCCTCCTTCAGAAATAATCCAAGAGAACTAAAAAGCCTGTTAATACAATCGATCCTCATTCCCATGAACATCAACTGCAAGAAAATCGTCCCAACACCCCGACCGAAAAATCGAGTTTCACGACTGCCGATGAATGGCGCGGACCGAGCGAGCCTCCTTTCGAACCCCTCGATGTATTTTGTTTAGAAAAACCCCCTCTCTATTTACCCACGTAAAACGATTCTCGCCCGTCCAGTCATAACACCGCACAGCCGCTCCAACAAACAGTTACTCGAGTTGCATCAGCCCAGCCATAGACCCCAGAAATACAAGTAGTTTAAAAAGAAAAAGGAAAAAAACCTGCCATTCTATTATTAAACCGCCTATCAGATTATGATGATCTTTGATCTCAGCCGGGAATCGCTGGAGCGCGACGGTTGAATGTGCAGAGAACTCCCACCACCGAGCCCCCCGCCCAGCATTCAAAATACCTCCGCAATTTATCGCATTATAAAACGTTAATTATCACTCATCAAAACGAAATCTCGAAGGAACTCGCGTCTTCCACCTCCAAATAAATTATCGCAAACTTACAAAAAAAGGAACGAAAAATATGTTTTTCTTGTCGCCGAGATAAAGAAATCCGTAACGAGAAAAATAAATAGCCCGCAACTAAAGAATTCCCATCGGAGAATAAAAATGATAAAAAAAAATACGTGAAACAACGACACTTACCGGGTGCCGTGCAGCAGCTGCCGCGGCCACAGCTGCCGCATTAATGCCAGCACTGGGATACATCCTAACCTGCTACTTTTCCACTGGTCCGAAAAAAAAAATTCACTTTAAAACTCCCGTTATTTATCGTTAACTCCAAAAGCACTTTTGATCCTCGCACACACAAAAAAACTGGCTATTCAAGAATTTCTCCTGGTAATAAAGAACAAAACTTTCATCACAAATACTGTTAGCACTTGTATAACACATTCTTCATTGTATCCCATGACAATTTTCACTCACAAAGTGACATTCACAGGCATAATCACAGTGTAATTTATCCAGAGAGGTTGTATCACACACCCCGAGAGCATTAGCGATTGATATTATTTTGTGGTACGGGAAAATGGAGTGGATTGAGCTAGCGTCGAGCATACCGACCTCGACAACGGTCGGGTATCAACTAATCAGGGAACGGGACGAGGAGAAACGCGTTACCCCGCCTGTGCCCCACTCCACCAACGCCACTACACGACGCGTCCTCCACCAGAAAACCCGGGACCACGTGGTACTACTACTACGTATCGTTCTGTCTCCCTCCGTCTCGTGATTTTTTCCCTTTGATTCTTGGACGTTTCACTCGCACCTGCACCGGTGGCGCTGCGTGTCTCTTCCTTTTTCGGCTTCCATCTTTCTCCGGGATTCCCCTTCCTAACCCGACGGGCTTCTCGAGAGTTTGTTGAAACAGTGTGGCGAGCCGCTTCCTTCGATCTCACCCGACTATCTTGCACTTACGTGCTCAACACGCTTTTGTTCCTCTCGCGGTTTTTTCTTTACCTTTTTTTTCTTTGGATTTCTCGCCCTTCCTTCTGCTTCTTTTCATTTCTGCGCGAACGCGCGCGCTTGTCTATCGCCTTATTTACTACTTGTGAGGAGATTCCTTTTTTTTGTTCAATTTTTAAGGATATCCAGGCATGCTTTACGGTTTGGTGTAGAGCGCACGATAGATTCAATCATTTTCAGTCATCAAAGGAGTCAATTGAATTGCGTGAGAAAAATTGAAAGAAAAATCATGAATTCGTTGGTTGTGAATAAATAATTGAAATTGTTTAAATTTGCGGAAACCTTATTTTTTTAGACATGAAATTGTTTTCTAGTAAAATTCGGAATATGAATAAATTGATTTTTATGGTGAAAAATTGATTGTTTAGAAATTATTTGTAAAAAATGCTCACAGTTTTGAAAAATTGCAATTTTTTAATTATTTAATCAATCTTTCTCCAAAAGTAAACTTTCTATTTTTTTCAGATTGTTAAAATGTTTTCTAACGATTCGATATTGAGATTTAAAATCAGACCTGCAAAGTTTAATTAATAAAATCATTGGTAAATGTCCGGAAAATTAGAGTTAAATGGGGCTCAAATGAAAACTCTGATGTTTAATTACAAAAGTGGAAAAACATTTCACTGGAAAAAAAATTAAAGTACTTACTAATTCAGTACTAATTACCAAAATTCGAATGAGAAGTGTGATTTATTTATAAAAAATATATATTATTCAAGTAGAAATTTAACAAAAATTTGTACTTTTCACTAGAGTTATTCCCATTAAAAATATATTAAAAAATTACTACTACAGGTTACAATTTTTTCTGCACTTTGTGCTTGAAATATTATTAAAATTCCGTTAACCCTAGTTTGGTCACCTGACGGGAACTTGCGACTCTGGTCACCTCCGCGGGGATTTGCCGCCGTGTTATTTAGGCTCCAGCGTTGCCGAATTCACTCTACACTGCCCGGGCGCGTTTAACGATTTTCCAGCAACGTCGCGCAACGGGCAATTTCATTTAATATGGGAAAAAATTGTCCAACTGTTGGAAATGATTTTTTTTCTTCCAGAATTTGGGATGTAATATTAAAAAACAATACTAAAATTTTCCAGATACTTTAATTGCCGAATTCAATTTTTTTCGGATTTTGCCGGTCAACCAGCTGGTGACAAGACGAAAAAAACGACACGTTTCAGCAATTCCCTCGCATGGTGACCAATCTAGGGTTAATAAATTGGAATAAACCTGCGGAGAGGCCACATCACTCCATCTACAAGTAACCCAACCGCTCAAAGATGATGAAAATATATTTTTCCACTGAACACACACAATGGAACAAGGAAGCTACACGAAGACAGATACTTATCACGACACAATTTCGATAAGAATTTATGACAAGACTGGAGTAGTAGATTCAACTCAATGGTAATATCTCCAGTGACGCCCCAAGTGGGATTATCTCCGCTGATAAACTCACGAAAAGACACATCCCGAATGATGGCTGACGTCAGCTGTTCGGAATCCAGACTTGTATACACGGAGCCGCTTGATTATCTCCGCAAGATTTCCCCCCCCCCCCCCCCCTTTTGAATTTAGGTGTTGTCTGACATGAAAAAAAGATGATGAGAAATAAGAACACTTACTTGAATGTGACTATCAAGTGTCTGTCTTATTACCATCTTATTACATTCTCTCCCTCCCGTTACGTCCCGCTTGGCCGTATCGCCGATGAGGCGATCAAGAACCGGTACAGCGGAAATAATTAGTGTCGCGCTTAGAATTACCGTGATGATCAAACTTTCCAATTACCAACACTTGCTCAACAACTCTCATCAATATTTTTTTTCAGGAATGAGATAAAATCTTCGGTCTTTACCACCACATTCCGTGTTCACAAAAAATGGAAAAAAACACTCAATGGGAGCTGTGGTTTGATATATATATATATATATATATATATATATATATATATATATATATATATATATATATATATATATAAGATATCACTTTCTAAATCGTATTATTGGAAGAGAATAAAAAATTTTGATTTTCAAGGACATGTCACTGATTTTCATGAATGATCTTGATCATTAGTGATTTTTATCACTGAAATTTGGTGATAGATTTCTAAAAATTTGAGTGAATCTCTAATAATTGGGGCTCAATTCTTGAAAATCAGTGACATGTTCCTGAAAATCAAAACTTTTCTTGTCCTGAATGAGAGCATCGAGTTGAAAATTTTTGGCTGAAATTGACGGTGCAAGCGACAGTTTTACTGAACCTTCGAGGAATTTCGTCAGAAGAAATTCACCATTTGATGAGTCAACGGAAACAGATTGTTCAATCTGAAATTTCTCTTGAATTTCAAGAAATTCTGTAATTAAGAATTCACAATCTCATGAAAAAAATCAATGAAAACTGCGAATTTTAGTTCAATTATTCATGTTGTGATTGAAATTTCAATTAAATTCACGAAGTTTTAATTTTTAAATCCACTTATTCCGCGAAAAAATCGCAATAATAATGAAAATATTCCAATTTATTTCGTCTTATCCCATCCCGATCTCCCCGTTCTCGCAGACCCCCAAATAAGATAAATAGTCGAAGAAATCAGTGCACAATCATCGAGTGTATCGAGCCGAGAAGGTGTGTATGAGTACTCGATTTACCAGATATAATACATCAGCACATGTTGCAACAAGCCACGCGAAAATCTCTCCGTCCTGGAAATGAGATGCATATACCTGTGAATGCGCAACCAACGAGCATTAACTATACGCGTCCAGCACGTAATGCACATTTTAATGAGACAATGACATTCGGGGGGATGGAATGAGGTAAAAATGGAAGTGGCCAGAACATTATACACGGTGAATATTTGTATGTAATTGTGAAGAATATCGCTACACGCTCTCATTCGTTAATTGCATCATACTTGATAAGTACTCAACTGCCAATTGGCATGGCCCATTAATCGCATATTCCTTTTCCGTGTGTGTTACGAAATTCAACGATTTTAATGGAGGTAACATCCAAGTATCCCGGCATATAGAGAATACGAATGCTGTCGACCAATCGCTACAACGCAAAATGGGCCGAAGTGAATATGTGTAATAGGCAATTTTTTTAAAAATAAAAACATGCATGAATATATTCAATATATTTTTGCTGATAAATTGGCAATTTGCTTCTCAATGGTGTTTTAATGACGACGTATTTTAGATTGAATTCAATGATTCATGGAATTTAACATTACCTCAATCTTGGCAGCCAACATTGGCCCAAAATTCATAGTCAACATTGTCCCAACGTTGGTAGCCAACATTACTTAAATATTGGTAGTCAAGATTGCCCGAATATTGGTAGCCAACATTGTCCCAACGTTAATAGTCCCAACGTTAATAGTCAACATCGCCTTGACATTGACAGCCAACATTCTCCCAACATTGATAGCCAGCATTGCCCCAAGTTGGTAACCAACATTACATCAATATTGGTAGTCGATTACCCGAATATTGGCAGCCCACATTGTCCCAACATTAGTAGTCAACATTGCCCCAACGTTCACAGCCGACATTCCCCCAATATTGATAACCAACATTGCCCCAACGTTAATAACCAACATTACATCAACATTGGTAGTCAAGATTGCCCGAATATTGACAGCCCACATTGTCCCAACATTATCAGTCGACATTGCCTCAACGTTGGTAGCCAATATTCCCCCAACATTGCCCCAACATTGATAACCAACATTACATCAACACTGATAATCAAGATTGTCCGAATATTGGCACCCCACATTGTCCCGACATTAATAGTCAACATTGCCTCAACGTTGACAGCCAACATTCCCCCAACATTGATAGTCAACATTGTCCCGACGTTAGAATTCTTTACCTTTCCCTGAATATTGGTTTCAAAATAAATTTCTTCAACAGACGATGCAATCGATCTCACGATCAAACTGGTCAAGGTGGCATTGAAAAGATTATTTTAAATCGCAAATGGATTCATTTAAACAATTACTTTTTTCACTTATCTTCGACAAACGATCGCTCACACACACATACATCCCGACATAAAAATAACATATTCGAACTCCTGACGCCAAAATTAATTATCCTGCCACAAAAAATGGGAAATTTCAGATTAGACGAATACAATGCGTCCATTTGAGAGCAAAAAGTTAATTGTTCATTGTTGGCCAATTCCTCGAATCATAATGAACATGTTCTTCGAACGTGTATAGCATCAGCTGGATTGTTAAACGAAGCCTATTACCTCGTCCTCAACAAGTCGTCGTTCTCATCTCGTTATTTTGAATTATTTATTCCATATAATTGAAAAATTTTCGTTGAAATGAATAGGAAAATTTCAAATAAAGAGTATATATTATTTCATTCAAATCCATTATTTCTCTGCGCACACTACAGGCCAGAATGCCGCATTGATTCGTACCTTCTCCCCTCCTGCTCTTCACGAAACAAGAAAAAATTCTGAAAACGCAGAGCAGAGATATTTTGACGGCTTTCTTCTCGGGCGCTGACGAAACCATGTTACATACCACCGCAAGCAGAAATGCAGAAAAAGCTCTCTCATCAGCCTTGTTTCA